TTTTAATTGTTGTTAAGATTTAAGAAAAATCAAGTGAAACCAATGGGACCACAATTATATATTTGTTTTGTGATAAAATAACTCAGACACACTCTTTCGTCACAAACACCATCTTATTGGGTCTTCTAAGGATGTCCCAAAGTGTATGAAAATTTTTAAGATTGTGAGGAAGAAATTAAAAGAATATGTCAATGAAAATAGGACCTAAAACATCATGCTTTATTTCAACCAAATGTGGCTAATCTTGGTGATGATGAAGAAACGGAAGGATGGTGAAACGGTTGATTTGTCACTTCTTTCAATATCACAAAAACAATCATTAAATGGAACAATCTTTTCAAGTTATGGATCAATTGCTAGAAATGAACATTTAGGATGACGAAAAAGAAGGTTTATTACCTCTTTTAACATTTTCACTTGCATTATTTGTAACATCATTCTGTGCTCCAATCATTTTAATAGTGTTTCGAACCCATAGAATATTTTGATAGAATCAGTAGACGAGTCGCTCGCATCAATGAATTCAACAAATTAGTTTCCTTTTGGAGAATTCATCAACATGTTAATGATCATTTTTTCGGTTCTTGTCATCCATTTATCCAACATAATGGAAAATATGAACTTGTTCCATTTACCCAATGATCCTCCATTACTTTTTTTGTCTCTTCCGGTTCTTTATTTAGATAACTGACACTAATTTCATGCCAAGTGGGAGGTTTCATTCCTGGACCACATTGGCTGACAAGCTCTATGAATGCTCTAGAAATGTCGGTACAATTGGCACAATTGAAGGGGAGGCCTGCTTCGTACATCCACCGTAAAAGGCCGCAACTATACGTTCCCTCAAAATTCTCTTGGTCATATGTCGCAAATTCTTTTTAACATTTTTCCCAACATCCTCTCATGGCTTCTACTGGAAGTGACAATCTAAAGGTCATTCTCTACCGTTGATCCGTAACTTGAAGAGACTGTTGCATTTTGTTATTGTTTTTGTGATTTTAAAGCAATATACAAATCAACAACTTTATCTTTCTTTTCTTCTTCATCATCAAGATTAGTCACATTCGATTGAAATATAGCATGTCGTTTTCACTCCTTTTTTCCATCTACATATTTTTTAATTTCTTCTCTCACAATCTCCGGACATTTTGTACACTTTGAGACAATTTTAGAAGACCCAATTAGATGTTGTTTGTGACGAAATATTCTGCCTTGAGTTTTCTTGTCACAAAACTAATATATAACTGCGGTCCAATTGGTCTCACTTAATATTTTTCCATAGTTCCTATTGTTGTTAAGATTTAACAAAAATTAAGAGAGAAGAAAAGAGGAAAAAATGTTAGATTTGAAGAAAAGAGTAAAAAATGTCAATGAGACACCTTAGCCTTTTTAGTTTGAAGAAGACAAGGGTAGGGACGGATGAAAAACACAGACTCGAACCCGAACCCGTGAAACACTCCCCATCTTGAACACCCTTTATCGCTTGGCCGTATCTCAAATGTGTCGAGCTGTTCTAAACTAAAATATCTATTCGTTCAAAATGACATTTGAGCTACATACACTTTATAATTTTTCGGCGAAGAGTGTTCACTTGACCTCTTGACACACTGTAGCTCCACCACTGGTTGAGTATATGAGTATGTCCCTTCCAGAGGTTGGTTTCTGGAATGATTTTTAAGTCATTTAAATGTCACTTTGTTTGACTCCACCCTGGACCATTGAGGGAAAGGCCCTTTTCCAATTATATGGATCTTCTCCAGATTCCTTACCGGATTTTCTTTGGGAAGAACACAATTGGTGTCCATTTTTTTGGGAGTGAAGATAGTTGTTTTAAATTTCAGTAACTTGAAAAGCAATAAGAAAATGACAACAGGAGACAGAAATCGGGAGTAGGATGAGATAGATGTTTGGTGAATTTTTTGAGGTAGGAATAGCATGGTGAGGGAAAAAGTAGGAAGTTCTTAAAGGAGCTTACAGACCAAGTGATCATGAAGGAGTAAGAAGGCCTTTGATGGCAACAAAATCATTCCATATTCCTCCTTCATACTAATACTATTCTGGTTTCATATTGAATATGTTATACTCATAATGTTTAGTTGAGTTGTTGTACATATGCTGACAGCTGAGAAATGTGTTGTGATTTTGGCTCATCTTTTTTACTCTCTCCATATCAATATGTTTGTCCGGGTTTGACTCGGCACGAAGTTTGAAAAAGTAAAGAAGACTTTTGAATCTTATGATCTTATACTAAAGAAAGATATGTAGAATATACCAAAATACCCTTTAATCTTGTGGTCTTAAACATACCATGTTGGAAGTTAGAATTAAAGAGTTGCCAAAAAGGAAAGAGGCATATTTTTTGAAACGGACTAAAAAGAAAAGTAGGACAAACAAATTAAAACTGCGGGAGTTGTACTTTTAAGGTAGATTTTGAGAAGGAAAATAAGAACAGGAGCATTACACTCTATTTGGATCATTGTTACCCATTGTATTGTATTGTATTGTTAAATTTTGTTGTTACGTAACAATGAAAACCCCCATTCTATGGAACAACCAATTTGGTGTGTTCCCATTGTTACTTAATTTCTTTTTCCAATTATATCCTTACATAATATTTCATAATACTATTTTACCATTTACCCTATATTATTTAATTCTAGTCAAACCTCCTACCCTAGAATAATTAAGGATATTTTAGTAAATTTATAAATTTCAATACAATACGATACAGTCAAACCAAACAATAAAAATGTTATTAAACAACAACAAACAATACAGTCTAATTAAACATTGTATCTACCATACAGTACAATACAATAGAGTACAATACAATACAATACATTATGAAACAATGAGTAACAATGATCCAAACAGAGTGTTAAGGGGGTGTGCATTTAAGGTACAAAAATAAACAGAGCAAAGATGCACTATTAAGGAAAACTAAAAATATGTCAGCAAATTAGTCAAGGTATTGCAATAATTGCACTTCCTTCACCCATGCGGTTAGATGGGATTTTCACATTAAATTTTCTGGTGGAATAAGAGTATAAGTTTAGCATTCCTTAAAATAAATTAGTATTGTTATGAAATTGCATGACTAATTAAGCTAATTTCTTGTGTATTAAATTTTTAAGGTAAAATGTAGTTTCTCACTTTCTCTAGATATCACACTTACTGTAACCTCACTAGAAGGATTCATGACAAACAACAAGCTAATATAAGTCTAACCAAAAGAATGACCAAAGCTTCATGTGATTTTAGGTTTATTTTGCCCCTGCTTAGTACCTTCAATCATTATAGTGCTGCATGCACCTATACATCGGTGCACATGGAGATTTATGTAGGGCAAGACCAATACTTGTCTCTTTGTACACAAATTTTGTCAAGATCAAGTGCATTTTCTTCAACACCACTAGAAAAATTAAATAAAGAATTTTTACCTTCTTTTTTCCTTTATTTGCTTCTTCTGCTTTAGTACCAGCTTAAACGAGAAAGTAAAGAATGGATACAATTAGCTGACTGAAAAGAAGACAATTGACACTTCTGTATTTTCTTGAAGACTGGAACTCATATCCCTTTGATGAAAGTGAAGACGAAAGGTTCATTACAATTTCTCTCTCATGGTTTTTGTGAGTTTTAACTCTGTAAAAGGATGGATGTCAGTTATAAAATACCCCACAAGGTACGAGCCTCAGTTCTCTTGAGATCTTCAGATGTTCTCTTTATGGACTAAAACAGAGTACATGACAGAAAGAAAATAATTGAGAAAGAGCAACGCTGAAGTGGCCAGTGACTTCTATAATTTGCAATCAGAGTGACAGGGAAACTACAGATTCTCATAGTGAGAACTCTTTCGAGTTTTTGACCAAAAACATCCCTATTGTATATGCACTACTTGGATTACATCCTTGAAATATACTTATGAACAAAAAGCATCCTTGTATTCTAAGGTGAGCTGTTTTCATCCCTCTGTTACTTTACCGCTACAAAACTAACGGACCCCCACAAAATCTCGTAAATGACACGTGACATTTTCTTAAAACATCAGCCTGCTTCACCATTGTTGATTGGAAAGAAAAATTATGGGGACACAGTCAATTAGGAGAAAAGAGTTGCTATTTTCATAACAAAGAAAATATTGCTGATTTGGAGTATATGGTATGAAGAACTATTTAGGGTTAATTTCTTATCGACTTAGGTCTCTACATACTCCAAAAGTATTTTTGTGGTTTTTGTATTTTCTGGCATGTTTTACCACTTTCTGCATTTCTGGAGTTTCAGATAATTTTCTTAAAAAATAGAATGTGGCTGAATAAGTTGTTACAGAACTTCTAAATTTGTTGGTGTGACTGAATCTTTTTTGGTGAATAATACTGGTGAAATGGATTTTAATATGGTCATGGTTATTTTTTAATCACTGTGTTAATGTTGCATTTCTGCAACATGTCCTAATTGTTCAACTTGGCCAGTAGCCTGTAGCTGTGAAATGGATGAGTTGGCCGGACTTTTTAATCAACAGTAACATTCTAGTACAATTTGAAAGATCATTCTATTGAAGCCTCATCTTCATCATGCTCAATTACAACTCAATAGTTATAAGGATCAGTTGAAAGCATGGTCGAAGTGGTTTAGCAGTGTTAGTTCCAACTTCAAGCATCTCCGAAGTCTTCTGTTTGTAGTTAAGGATCAGTGTGTATCTGGAATGGAGTTGCAAAGCTTGTAATTTTATTTTCGAATGTCACCTGCCCTGTCTGTGTCTTTTTAGGGTTCTGTTAGGTTTATTACCATGGGTAATAGCAGAACGAAACATGCTCATTTCCAAAAATGTGAAGGATGTTCTTTGTTTACAGTGATCCTTTAAAGATGTAGTCTCAGTAAGTGGTATACATTAGGGGTGTATTTGGCCAAAAACTCACTTTATATCAGTAAAGAAGTTTCAGCTTGTCCTCGAGATCGTGGAGCAATCTGTTTTTTTTAACACAAAATCTTTGTCACTACAGGTTATGTGCAGAAGATTACAGCACGCAAGGATATCGATGTTATGGAGGACTTAGATAATGGAAAACCACCTTGACAGAAGTTAAATATCTAATGCACTTTTTTGTCTTACATTAGCAGACATTGATGATAGCTTTGAAGAGGCTTTTTTTCACTACTGAATCCTAGTATTCTTTAAGGTGCAAAGAGGTTGCAATACTGACAATTTTTGGAGTCAGCTAAAAGAGATATGCCTCCATACTACATTCATAGTGCAAGCAACAAGTTCTTGAAGATCAAGGGCGGAGTTCTGGGAAGAATGATGATTATTTTTTATAAGTAAATGCTATTATTTCATTTATTCCCCTGATTATTTCATATACTTTTTATACATTGACGCTGGACTCGTGGTTGTTAATAAATCATTGATGTATGAAATCTGGTCTCCCTCTTGAAGCACCAGAATGTGTTCCCCGTTTATGGCCTCCTGACCATTCTGTTGTGTAGCATTTGTCTTGCCTGTTCATCATTTTAATATCAACGATATGTGTGTTACTGAAAAAGGCTCAGTAATTTAAGGGCACTAATTTTTATAGATTATTGTTGTTTTCTTGACCAAATAATTATTAAAGAGGGTAAATATTACTGCAAACAAAATAAGTATAAAGAGGAATAGCAGTGTGAATTCTCATAATATTTTCTTTTGGTTTCCCCAATTAATAGGGCAATCTCCCTTGTGGCATGACATTAATAATGGCTACAAAGAGGCTCCGTCCTCGTATACGGCATGATCTCTGCAGATGAGCTTTTCTGTAAAGGTAAATTGTTGCCCTCCAGGGAAAATTAAAAACTACAACTACTGTTAAAGATGAACACCTTGATGAAGATGACATTTTTCCAAAAATGGGAAAGAGGATGATGAGAAGCTGGACACAACGTTTGGGGTTGAATAGATCTCATATTTTGCAACACAAAGCTGATAAAAGTGATAGAACAGATGAAATAAAGACACCACTAATTTTTTTTGAATTTTGTTGTTTAGCTACAAAATTTGTCTGCATGACACTAATTCCTTAGAAAAATTAACTTTAAGGTTTCTTAAATTTTGTGTCAAGTCAAACAACAAAACATAAAAAAATGAGACGGAAGGAGTATATAATATGATCCAATAGGTTAGAGGCTTTTTTTTTTTTACCCTTTTTCCATTAAAAAAAAGGAAGAGGTTTACTCCCACCACCATCCATCCACCCCACACACACAGAAAGAAGTTTTTGCATTTGTCATTACATGTAACCTCTGAACTACACTACAATTGAGCAGCTAGAACCATCCTGCTAGGGAAAATTCCCAAACTACACTACTTTGGGAGGTAAAGCATGTCTATTCAAGGTTTAATGTTTGTAGCTTTCTCCCTTTCTTTTTCCTTGAAAATGTAAAAAGTGAGAATTTTCCACCAAAAATTAGACTGCCTCCTTGTAATAATCAAATCCTTACTCAACAGGATAACATTTTACACTGCAAAAATTCGTAACCAGAATGACGTAGACAATGGGGTAGGTTGTAAGGATAATGAGCATTACGCTATTAGCTTACAACAAGCTGCTGTCGAGATTCGCTGTTTTTTCACATGATCTTAAACAAATATGGCTTCAAACTTTGCACATGGGAGGCTTTCGATGTGATCCCTAAAATCAGTGTCTCCCTTGAATGTGAAGTTGTACAATGCTTGTCGTTGTGTCATGCCAAGAGGATGTAATCTGTAGAGTTTTAGTTCATCTCCTCCACGTAGTATATGAGGTCTTTCTTCTTTCCAAATAGGAACATGCTTTAGAGATTCGAACTTTGACACTACTGCAGATTCAAAAGCCTCCAACGACAAATTAGATGACCTGCAAAGGTTCCAGTAATGACGTTGATTGAAATATTACATCAATAGTTAGGTAAGCTGTAAGAAAGAGACATGAAAACAGTTGTACATTCTCAGCTGGACAAAGGAAAAGTGCAAGAGAGAATTCACATAATGACAACGGTTTCCAAATTTCTTTTTCAAGGTCCAATCCCCCAAACTTTAACATGCTAACGATCCAGCTAGTGGCATAATTAGCGGGAACCAAACACCATTTACCAAATATTTTCTGGAACTTCACTGCTTCATTCTATATATCAACTCAATCAAGAAATAAATAAGACTAGTCATACGTTGATACTATGATACATACTAGACATATCTAAGAGCAGCTTTGCAGTAGCTTTACTCTCATTAGTGGAGAAATGAGAAGTTATTGGTCTCACAAGTGTTAGTACATATCGAAACCTGCCACGCCACTACACAAGTGTTAGTACTCCAAAACATGGCGCCCACAATACTTACCAGTTGGGCTTTATTGGATAGTCTGAATAATTAAAAAGGTAAGGGGCCATATATACCCTTAATTCATATTCGATATAGAGTAAGGTTACCCTTCGTTTCAAGAGTGTCTTGTTTGTAACCCTGCCGTTTGCCAAATGCCTCAAATTTGCCATTATTGGCTAACAGAAACCGTTTTCCCTATTAAAAGTTACTCCCTCCATCTCACTTTATGTGGCACTCTTTCCTTTTTAGTCCATCCCAAAAAGAGTGTCCCCTAACTATAATTAGAAACAATTTAACTTTAAGATTCCCTTTTACTCTTAATGAAATAATCTACAACCATACATATATCTAAGCATTGCTTTAGACCACAAGTTTCAAAAGTTCCTTTTTTTCTTAAACACCGTGTCAAGTCAAATGATGTCACATTTTTGTGACGGAGGGAGCACAATTTATGCTTTTAAAACAAAAGAAATGCCACCTATTAAACCAAACCCCACCCTTCACCATTTTAAAGCACCATGTATAATATATAGCTAATTTTGAACTACCACGTATATAAGGGCAAATATTAAACTCCCACATTTAATATTAGGGTAAATACGACTCAACTTTCACAACACTCCTATTTCATTCCCAACAACACTTTTTGGCACTTAAATGGTACATACTAACCATCTATACGGGACCAATTTCATTTCACCTACAATATGTCTTTATATCACATAAGATTGAGTAAGAAGCAAACTACCCCAAAAAACATACACGTCAATTTTACCAACAGAATATCATTTTGGAATGCCATATATTACATAACATAGACTAGAAAGTTGAAATCATCACTCATGCTACAATGGTTAGACAAAACAATGCAACCCATTAATGACTTAGTGAAAAAACACTCACATTTTGAAACATTTACTCAAAGAATCAGAGAGGACATTGATGAAAATGCACTTATATATATATATTCATGGCAGAAAATACCTTAGGAAAATGGACTCCATCTCAAACCTCCCTCTTTCACGTACATATACATGATATACAGTTTCTGAATCTCTGGTACATTTGCAGGGACGTTTCTTAAATTTTGGATTCTGCTCTTCTCTCTCCCGAATACTTGTTGCTAAGAAGATACACAAACGACACGAAGAGTGAACTGCTGCCATGTCAACCAGGGCTTTGAAAGAATCAGATGGGCCCTCAACTTTCCACCTATATAATCAAAACAAGCCATTTGTTAGCCAGAACCAGGAAATTTAAGAAACCTTTAATAAATTTTGTATGGAGAGGGTCAATCACAACTCCCAGCAAGCCTAAGGGGAGCGGCAAACCGAGACTCAATTCATCCCTATTCAGAAGTTCTAATTAGTCCAAAATAATATATCACTATGTCGAAAACTAGGATAAGGTAGTAAAAGTTATGTAACTATAGAGACAAGCCTTTGTTACTTCCTTAGTGAAAAGATATTGAAAAAGTATAGAAAGATGTTGGAAAAAAGTTTTTCTTTGAGAGCGGATAAATCTTCAAGATAACCAAAAAAGAGTTAATTTAGGACAAAAAGAAAGACTTATAATCAAGAGGAACGCCGATCAAATAAGAATTTGATGCAAGAAAAGTACCACTTTTTGAGCATACCTTAACAACTCATTATATGCACTAGGATTTGCTGCAAGGTACTTCATAGTATTGGCAACGGTTTCAGCATCTTTCAGCTCTTTAATGTGTAAAAGTGAATTATTAGAAGGAGCAAACTCTTGGATGTTTGGAGCACCAATCACCACAGGGATTGATCCTGCAAGTTTATACGAACTTGCTTTGATCAGCACGATAGAGTTGAGAACCATAAATCTTAATTCCGAAGTAGTAATTTGTGAAAAATCATAAACACAGGAAGACAAAAGAAAATGATTAAACCAAGATAATTCATGTAAAATCATTTCAACAAAATTTCTAAAGCTTCTCAAAATGAGCAAGAGCTGAGCATCTGTGCGCTGTACCAGAATATGCAAATCGAGATACAAAACATATTTGAAGTACCAAAAGGTACTCATAAGTTTGCTCTTTTTTGCAATATTTGTTCTTCATGGCACACTTTAAAGCTAATATCTTCAAGGTCTTTTGTGACAAATATTGCATTGCAGAAAAACAAATAAAAAATGCATCAATATAGAGGGATGGGAGCTTTCAAGACAATAATCGATACATTGGAAACTAAGTGAACAAATCAAAATAAAAGTTAACAGTCAAGAGTAAATACCAGCAACCAGAGACTGGAAGAATTTTTCAGTGACATAATCCTCCTCATTAGAATTCTCAAAAGCGAAGCTAAATTTAAAGCGCTTGAGAGTTTCCACTTTGTCAACTGCCACAAAATTGAGAACAAAGAGGATAAGTGAGAGTTAACAGGCTACAATGTAAAATTAAGCTTACATGCATGCATGAAGATGTTCTGCATCAAAAATATTAGATTTATCCAAACTACCTTTTCTCTTTCCAACAAATCAGGGTATAGTTTCCCATTATGAAATTACAAGAAAAGGTTTGTTTTTCAACTCTTTTCTTATAACTGAAAAACCCCCGATGGTCAATAGCGCAAGATTTGAAACTAGTAGATAACGAGCCGGACCCTCTACTCTTCTCCACTTAAATACCAGGCTTTTATCAATAGGAAGGCCCAAACTGTGATGTGCATCTAACCCAAGCATCATGCACTGCACTCTTACCACTAGACTAAAGCTTTGGGGCCATCTTCTTTTCAAGTCTATTCGAATGAGTTGCAAAGAAGAATTCTTTTTATGCACGCACTTAGTTTAATTTACCAGAGATGTCTGCTTTTCAACTCTATTCTAATGAATTACTTCTTCCGTTTCAAAAAAGAATGACCTACATTCCTTTCTAGTCTGTTTCAAAAAGTATGATCCCTTTCTTTTATTTGGCATGTTCAAGGCCACAAGATTAAAGGGTATTTTGGTACATTTGACATAACTTTAATTTAGGACCACAAAATTGAAAAATTTACTTTATTTTCTTAAACTTCATGCCAAGTCAAATTAGACCATTCTTTGAAATGAAGGGAGTACATACTAATGTGCAGTTAATCCACATGCATGTGTAATCATATTTGACATTCAAATATAAAAAGCTTATCCCAGCTACCTTTTTCCTTAAATGTTTCTTTTCTAAAGAATCAAGGTCTAGCTTCTTAGCAATGCATTTACAAAAAGATGTCTATGTGCAACTCTATGCTACTGGGTTGCAAGATAATAAGTGTTCAAAAGGTAACATAATAACATAAAATAATCTATCCACAAAATGATATCTTTAAGACTGGCAAAACATGTTTGGAAAGTCGCCTTGTAACTGGATTTGGGTGTAATTACACAATTTTAGTATGTTTTCTGACCAAGTAATCACTTGATCAGCATGTAACTAGGTGTACTTGAATTGGGGGAGTAATTACACTCCTCAATTCTCAAGGGCGTTGAAAATTGTTGGTAATTACATGTAAGGGGCGGAGCTATAGCCAACCCAGGGGTGTCGAAAAATTACGTAGTATATATATGTCAAATTTTGCATTTAAAGGATATATATTTAAAGTTGGACAGTCTTAACAAAAGTTACACCATTGGCACAGTGGTAATGGGTGTCCATTTGAATCAAGAAGTTTCGGGTCCGAATCCTTAAATAGCATAATGTTTTTTTTTTTTGTTCTTTTTTACAGTCACACACCATTATTCTTGGACACCTTTGATAAAATTTTTGGCTCCGCTACTTATTACATGGTGTAGTTATTAGGTTATTTTAAAAAAAAATTCCTTGTTTATTTTTAAAAAAATTTCTCTTCTTAATTTATTTTATTTCTATTATTTTTACCTTACAATTTATTTTTTATTATTAATTTTTAATTTTTTTATTTTATTTTTTTCAAATATATTATTCTCTTTAGATTAATTATCTTTCAGTTCTTTACTTCTCATTTCTCAACCTCTCCTTGTTGTGCTACCATGTAATTTCTCTTCTTCTTTTTTTGTTGAGAAGGTAATGTTAATTTCTCATATTTTGTTTCTTTATTTTTCTCATTTTGTTTAGCTATGTTATTATTCTAATTTTTGAAACTATACCTCCTAATCTTAAAAAGAATCAGTCATTTACAAACTTGTGTTATAATGAGTGAAGACATTAAAGTTGAATTTCATTATTGAATGAGGTTATAGACAAACTTGACTTATATAGAATGATGTCGATGTCAGCACTGATAAATTACTTTTTATCAAATATTTGAACATTACAAAATTATGGTTCCAAATAGTTATTTTTTGTCAAACATGCAATCCATGATATTCTTCCAAAATGTATGCTTCTTTAGAATTTTTATTATTTAAATTAAAATATTATTTATTTGAAGTTTATAGATCAGTTCTTTTTTATAATATTTTTTTTTTGAGAAAGGTAAAATCAGTTCTTTTTTATAATATTAGTTATCAATTATAATTATTTAATACTGAATTGGAAGATGTTGCAGATATTAAGAAGGAGATCAGACTGTTCTACAAGGACTTATGGGAAGTTCTGCCAGCTCTCTACCTGCAGTGAATAAGCAAATCATGAAAAGGTGACCACGACTTACTCATGCACAACAACTTCTATTATGTAAGGAAGTCACAGCACAAGAAATTGAGGAAGGACTTCAAGCAATTGGTTCAGATAAGGCTCCTGGAGTGGATGGATACAATACTGGATTTTTCAAAAAAGCTTGGCCCATAATCAAGCAGGATATTGTGGCTGCGGTACAAGAATTTTTCACAACAAGTATTATGCATAGACCAATCAATTGTACTGGTATCACTTTGGTTCCAAAAATTGCACAACCAGTCACTGTGAAGGAGTATCGACTAATAGCATGTTGTACTGTATTGTACAAGATTATTTCCAAGGTCTCAGCTACTAGACTACAACAAGTCATTTCAGATGTTATAAGTGAATCACAAGCTGGTTTCATAACTGGGAGGAAAATTGCAGACAACATTATCTTAGCACATGAATTAGTACAAACATATGGGACGAAACATACATCACCAAGGTGCATGCTCAAGATAGATCTTCAAAAGGCTTGTGATAGCATAGAATGGGTGTATCTTCAACAGGTTATGGAAGAGTTGGGGTTTCCTATGAAGTTTATGGCTTGGATCATGGAATGTGTCAAAACAGTTAACTACTCGATTGTGGTTAATGGAGAGTTTACAGAACGATTTGATGCTGCGAAAGGATTGAGGCAAGGGGATCCCATTTCCCCTTTCTTATTTGCTATAGCCATGGAATATATTAGTAGAAGTCTATGTGCATTGAAATTGAATAAGAAATTCAATTTTCACCCCAAGTGTGCTAAACTGAATATTACACGCCTGTGTTTTGCTGATGATCTACTGCTATTTGCAAGGGGTGATTTAGAATCTATCTCAACAATGGATGACTGTTTTCAACAGTTCTCCATTGCCTCAAGACTCAAAGCTAATTTGGATAAAAGTTGTGCCTATTTTGGTGGAGTGCCTCAGAGAGATAAAGATGTTATAATACAGAAGTTGGGATACAGCACAGGAGAATTGCCATTCAAATACGTAGGAGTGCCCTTATCAACTAGGAAGTTGACTCGCTCCAGTGGCAACCACTTATTGAAAAAATTGTGAAGAGAATTGCTTCTTGGACAGCAAAGAAATTATCTTATGCAGGCAGAATCCAGTTGGTCCAGACAGTGATATTTGGTATACAATCTTATTGGGCTCAACTGTTCTTGCTCCCCACAAAGGTAGTAAAGACCATTGAGGCCTATTGCAGGAGCTATATTTGGTCTGGAGCAAGTACTATCACCAAAAAAGCTCTAGTAGCTTGGGATAAGATATGTTTGCCTAAATCTGCAGGAGGGTTGAATATCATCAATCTACATTTATGGAACAAAGCTGCTCAAGCCAAAGTTTTTTGGGATCTTACACATAAAGAAGATAAGTTGTGGATCAAGTGGATACACACTTACTATTAAAGGAGCAACAAGTGCAAGTTATGCCCATTCCATCTCAAGCATGTTGGATTACAAGGAAAATATTGGAAGCTAGGACTCAATGGAATCAAGTACAACATTTGGTGAAAAAGCAACATGGTATTATAAAGCAAATTTATCTTGGATTGATTGGGGAAAGGACCAGAGTCTCATGGAAATGCTTGATGTTTGCCAATATGTTCTCTTGTTTCCTTTTCCTGCTGGCAGAATATACACAAAGGCTCGACATTAATACCCCATTTAACAAGCCTATCTTTTGTGAGAAGTTTAGCCTGCACTAGTAGCCACATAGTGAATATAGCTTTAGGCCTAGCAGAATTGGCAAACATTTTTTTTTTTTGAGATGAATAAAAAAAATAATAATAATAAAATAAAATAAAAAATTAGATTGGATGCAAAGACAAGAGAACATTGGAGGAGATTGGGATCACTATTATCAGTGGATACTCAAGAATGCCCGAGGGAAGACTGAAAAAGCCCAAATTTTTAAATTGGTATTTGCTGAAACTGTGCATGCCTTATGTATAGAAAGGAATGTCAGGATTTTTGAACAACAGGCTGTGGATGAGAGTAGATTGACTAGAAATATTGCTGATGCTTGTAATATTAGAGCACCATTGGGGGTAAAGGTGTAGTACAATCATGGCTTGTAAAGTCTTAGTTTTCTGTAGAGATTGGTGAGGAGTCTGGTAGATAGCAATTGGTTAGGATGGCACTATAAATTAGACTAAGCTGGCTGTGGTAGCTAGCTTGATTTGCAATTTTGTTTCGGGTGATTAATGGAAAAATTAGTTACCTAAAAAGAAAAAAAAAATACTCCCTCTGTGTTGCTGTAAATCATATCATTAAAGGTAAAATAAACATTTTATAGTTAAATTGTAACTTAATATAGAAATGTGTTATTCTTTTTGGGACTGACTACAAAATAAAGTAAGTCACATAAATTGGGACAGAGGGAGTAATATGTATCTATACTTATTATAGATAAATTTAGTAATATTTCTTATATAGACATATATTTGTCAAAAATAATGGATGTTTAATTTTGATAATAATTAATTTTTATTTTTAAAATTTAAAGGATCGAACTATGTAATTATACTTGTATAACAAAATATTGTGTTTGTAATTACACTATATGGCTTATGACAACCAGCAAGTGTTTGTTTGTTTACAAGGTAGCTTTCCTAAAAGACCTTTAGAGAACTTAGGGGACGTTTGGATTAACAACGCAGGGAGGGATTAATAGTGCAGGGATTAGTAATGCAAGGTTAAATTTTATCAAGTGTTTGGTTCATTGTTTCTGACCTCATCTTGTGTTTGGATTAAAACTCTATAAAAAAAAAACTTCTTTCCAATTATACCCTTAAATTATCATGTAATTGGGTCAAGGTAGATAGTTGCCGAACAATATTATTTTTTTATGGCCTTCTAACTAGCTAGGAGAAGAAAAAATTTTGTTGTCATGTTTGCTATTTTTTCACTTGAATTATTTGAGGATAAATAATTGTCATCTTTATAAATTGATCACTAACAAAATGTCAATTTTTAATTTAAACAAGGATAAATCATCTACTTTTAAAACCAAAAAAAGGGTAAACAATAGTAAAATTGAATAAACCATCTACATTTACACATAAAAATTGCAAGTTGTAGTTTTAATATGTAAGCAATTTTAGAAATTGTTCAAAATACAAATAATTAAAAAACCACACAAATATATATACATTCAATTAAGATCACAAACGTCATGTGTTGTGATATATTTGCCTTTTTAGTTAGTAAATGTTAAACGACTCACATTTCAAGTATTGTATTGGATTTATTTAGTAACAAACAACTCTCTCTAAATAATTTGTAAGCTAATTTATTTAAATAAATTTACTAGTACAAATATAAAACATAAAATAAACAAAATAAACAAAATAATTAAAATGATTTGAGGGATAACTTTGTCTTTACATAGACTTATCCCATGCTATTAAATCCTATGTATTACTAATACCTCCAAATGGAAATATCATGTAGGGTGTATAACTAATCCATGGAGATTAGTTATACATAGGCCCAAATTCCTACCAAACATAGTACTAAATAATACCATACATAATACATGGACTATTTCTCCTAATACTGCCTACCAAACGACCCCTAATGTGCTTATGTGCACATTTAGCAAGGAAACAAATATAAGGTTTCTACTTCCGGTTGGCTTTCAAGGAATGTATGACAATTGAGGAAGAGGGACAAACCCATTATATTGAAACATTTTTTAGACAATAAGCTCCTTAATGGTAACTACTTCGAAAAAGACACCATCAATATATCATCATATATAATGGAAACACACTGACCATTTCCATCCCGGTTATGATGACAACTGCCAAAAGAATCAATCTTGATCTTTTCTCTTTCAAGCACTTCAAGAGCTTGCAACCGGAAGTTGCGAGCACCGCAATTAGAAATAAAAGCAGCTGCTAACGCATTCTCGGTTTTAGGTTGCACTGGAGCCATTATATCATACTCGGCCCAAGAGAAGTACCCAACAGGAACATCTGAAGAGAGGCTTGTTGTCATTATAATATCATATCCCCTTCTGAAACATGAGAAACAAAAATGAAGTTGTTTAATGATTTCTCCAGACAGATATAAAGATTCAGAAAATATATGAAAGAGTTACAATTTATATTATAACCACGATATGGTCCTAAAATTATTGTGTGCATGTGGTCTCCCTGCACCAATTTATGATCAAAGCATTTGTAGACAACCTGTCCGGCCTCTGTTGTAGAAAGTGGCATGGCTTTAAGTATATGCTGGTATTAAGCGTTTTTCTTCCAATAAGTTGAGCATTATTCTAAATAAGTCACTTGACGCATTCAGACTTCACCTTCAAACAAATTAATGTCTCAGAAATCCATGGAACATGGCAGTTACATCCGATTTTGCCTAAACCTTAAAATATGTGATCTAGCATGGTTATCGAATTGCTATATGCATAGCGAAAGAAAATGTCATTGAATACTACAAAAGAAAATTGCCAAGTAAAATCAAGGCTCCTTTCAAAGTAGTTTGTTTTGTGTGGTTGGTGGCCAGGCAAGCTGCTTAACCTAGGATAATTTAAAGAGGAGGAATTCAGATAAGCTCGAGGTATTATTAATGCTATGCAAAATCAGAGAATAACAGTCATTTGTTCTTTGCATTGTGGATGTTGAAGTGTAGAACCATCTCATCTAAAAGCTAAAATTGTTTGTGAGACCACATTTTTTATTACTTAATTATGTCTTCAACACCCCGCCACTCCAATCTGCGAGTCTGGTTCTTTTTCATGAGTTAAGCACATGGATATTCTTTGTTGGTAATGGTACGGTGAGACGAATGCAGAACCTTTGCTTGTTGTGATATCATGTTTAAGTGTGTGAGCATCTCATCTGAAAGCTTAAGTTGTCAAAGAGAGCACATTTTTATTTACTTAATTATGTCTTCAATAAAGGTGTTACTAGTCAGCTGTGGCAATTATCTCCCAGCATGATAGGCTTAAGGGACTAAGCATAAGTTCACACTTTTATTTGCATTTTGCTCTGCTTAGAGCAAAATGTAACTGCTTTTCGCATTCACAATGTTATAAGCTCTTGCCAGAAACTAACAGCGAGAAAAAAAATGATCTCTGGCCAAGGCTATTATCCTTCAGGAGCCTCTGTGTAGGTAGGAATGTTTAAGTCTTTTTCAAGATGTGCTTACCCACCGTCGTGCCATAACAACATCGTTTTCAGGATAGTATTGAGCTGACTCCATTGACCGAAGCACGCCAGCTGTGCCAGCCTGTTGTGTTGTTCCAAATGCTGCATCAGGCTTCTTATCAGAATCCCCTCCAAACTTGCATCCCACAGCACAGGACTTCCAATCCTATATTATGATAGAATGGCCATCAGATCTCTAATATGGTAAAAACAAAAAACATTCAAGAAGAAAGACGGTAACCCGATAACTGTTACCTGCTCTCACCTACATGCCAGTACTTGATGTAATGAAGGAATAAGGTAAAAGAAAAGAAGATACACAAGGTTCCTCCACATATTTTATCCCCCACTTGTCTATAAAATCCATTAGTATCTTTACCCATATGGAATAGGTTTTGGAAAAGTCAGTACTTTGTAAGATATCTTACTGTAACCATGATAAAAGAACAAAAAACCAGATCACCGCCATGGATGCATTAGCTTAGCCTACTGATTGATATATATAATTGGTAGGTTATTTAGTACTCCCTCCGTTTCACAAAGAATGACCTCCTTTCCTTTTTTGTCAGTTTCAAAAAGAATGACCTCTTTCCTTTTTTGGTAACATTTTACTTTTTGCTTTCCACGTGGCATGTTTAAGACCACAAGATTAAGGGCAATTTTGTACATTTGACATAACTTTAATTTAGGACCACAAGATTCAAAAGTCTTCTTTATTTACTTAAACTCCGTGCCAAGTCAAACCAGGTCATTCTTTATGAAACGGAGGGAGTATTTGGTTTAGAGATGTACACATTTCAAAAGAAACATATAACCAGAACCCATCAATTTGGCAGTATATTGTACATACAAACTTCAAAATGCCAAAACATAATTTAAAACTACAAATTTATGTTCTTCCATTTATCAAAGCCTCAAGTCTAGAACAGACAAAGACATATAGGCAGACAGTTTATAATGCATTTTAGATGAAGTAAATACCAAAACATAAATGCCAACAAAAATCCATATTAGGTGCAGACATCGTCTAAAGAAATGCTCCAAAAAACAAAAACAAAAAAATCAACCATGTCTCCCATACAATTGGGGTCTAACTATATGACTCCTCTATATTCATTCTGCCCTACTCGGGCTCATTTCATTCAAATCCTGATTAGAAAAAAGTTCAATAGTCCCAAAAATTAGCTCACACGATGAGGATTGTCCAACACCATATAAGGAGACCCATCCAATATCCAATGTGGGACACTAAACACCCTGCCCACACGCCCAAATCTCTTTAACTAAAGTGTGGACAATATAATAGGGGGCCCAACATCGGAAATGAAAATTGAGATGAATGTAGCTCCACACATGGGGCCTAGCTCAACCTCAAAAGCTAATTCGATCTCTTAGCAAATAGAAAGTATACTTATTAATACATGAAAAACAATATAACCTTATCTCCACCATGAACAAAAATTGGATCTTTGTCAAAATCTCTAGAATATTCCATGGAATCCTCCCTTTGCAGCCATTCCTCACAGCTCCCAGGTACCAAATCTTGATCAACCTCATCACTCAAGTCAACCAACCCAGTAGGGTCATCATCACCATTACTACTAATACTACTCACTTTAGCAGTTGATGTCGTAAACTTGTAAAATGAATCAGCCCACGAGTTAACCAGATTAGCTTTTTCAGCCATATCTAGTCGACCCAGAAAAGCAATTTCCACTAAAACCACAAGACCAACCAACAAAGGCAACCAATTAGACAATTTCTTTTGAGGAACAACTGAAGTAGTAGTGGGTAAACCTTCATTTCTTTGTACCCTTTGAACTGGAACAGCAGCAGCCATTAATGGTAGTATCAAGAATATGTTCTTTTTGGTGAAAGGAAGCTAAAGATGTGATCTTTTTTACTTTTACTTTAGAGGGTTTTGAGAATTGAGATTCTTGATTATACACAGTGGTGAGGTGATTCTGGAAAAGGGGTATAGGAGTGAAAGTCAAGCAAAGACAACTATGAAGAGAAGTTTATTGGTCAAATCTTGAATAGTCTTCTTCTTCTTTCTTTTTTTCTCTCTCTCTTGTACGTTGGTGTCTCAGTGGACATTTGTCGGATTCCGTTTGTTTTTTCAAGTGTTATGCAATGCCAAGTCGTTTGGTAGAGTATATTAACAAAAATAATGTACATACTAATTTTGTGTATCAAAAATTTGTTTGGTGCATTTTTTTCATGTTAGGAATAACTAATACATTTTATTGTGTGTTAAGAAGTGTATTACTAATTCTATGAATTTCTAAATATTAGTAATGTAAATGGATTTAATACATGCATTAACATGGTTAAAGATATAATTACCTCTGAAAGGCCCTCTTACATCTTTTCCACTATAATTGTGAAAGATATTTTTACAAATAAATATTTTATATAATGCATGCTATTTTTAATATTATAAACCACATAATGCATAAAAAATAATCTATGTATAATTTTAATATAGCAAACTACATAATGCATAAGAAATAAGGTATGTATAACTAATGCAAGCATAACTATCACTTCCTCTATTCCTATTTATATGTCATTCTTACTAAAATAGATGGTCTTTAATACTCAGGGTCCACTTTTAATTGTCATGATTTTATTTTATTTTTAGAGTCAAATTATAAGAACTTTAACTAATATTTTACAATGTATTTTTAATTATATTGATACGATAAAAAATTTGCAATTTATAGTATTTTTCGTATATTTTTTGGATATCTAAATTTTTTGTTTAAAATATTAAATTAATATAATCTAATTTAATTTTGAAAATTAGTCAAATTGATTTTCGAAAGCGCAACATGACTATTAAAAGTGGATGGAGGGAGTATTTGTCATTTCACAAAATCAATGCGTAAATGACACTATTCTCATTTTATTATTGAGAGTTATAGTCTTGAAAGTATGAATTTGACCAACATAGGAACATTAAATGATTAATTCATGTTCAGTGGTAAATTTAAGTAATAAAAAATCAATTTATATCATTTATTGAAAATTGACTTTTCAAGAGAATACTAAATAATGGTACAATGGTAAATTTACATAGTTTCTTAAGAGACGTAAAATCTAAAATGGTGACATATAAATAGGAACGGAAGGAGTACAAGTTTTACTAATGCAAGCATTACTAATACATTTATTGATCATTATTTCTATACACTCTATCAAACGACTCCAATGAATTATTGTGATATGCCACGTCACTTAAGAAAAAAATTAAGGACATAAGTTAAGGATTATTTTTCATTAATATCCTTTTAATTATTTTAAAATTATTGTATTAGAAAATGTAAAGCAGTCAACAACTTCATTAAATCAATATGTACATCTATATTTTATTATATAATATAAAGGAGAAACATAGACAATGTGATGTGACACCTCTCTTTTACCTTCATTCATATTTATCTTTTTTCTCCCTTTTTGAGATTTTTTTCTTACTTATTTTCATTAAATATTTTCTTATTTAAATAAAAAATTCAATCATATTTACTATTCTAATTATATCTAATAAGTTACAAAAAAAAATATCTATCTATTCATATTCTCTACTTAAATAACATGCCTCCTCAACTCCTTTGTAAGTATTCTTATGAATTATCACATCTATAAATAACAATTATCCGTGAAGATGTTGAATATTCATTTTTCATTTTCTCATTTCTCCTTCTTTCTTTCTATTAGTGTAGTTTTTTTTTCTTTACTTTTTAAAAAAAAAATTGTTATTGTTCATCTTTTTCATAAGAAATCATAAAAAAAAATAGTGTGATATGTCCTACACTTTGATGAAGATCAAAGATCCATACAAAGAGATGTTCACATTAGCTTAGTACAAGTTCATCAAAATGAAGAAAAAAGCTTAATTATGCTGAAAGATTCATCAAGCTTAATTAGTATAAAGTTTGAATGTTTTCAATATTTTAAAGATTCATTAATGTATTGTTTTGATTTTAATATTCTAAAATTTTGCCATGGTTGAAAGGTATATTATCTACATTTCTCATAGCTATTAGACATTGTTGTGCTTAAAAATCTATATATATAATATAAGCTAGATGTTAGAAAAGTGAAGTTGCACCTCTCTTTGGCCAAGGGTTCTATTTATCTTTTTCCTCAAATTTTTAATAATTTTTCATATTTTTCTACTAACTTATGATTGTACTAAATATATATTACTACTCCGCTATTTGGTATACTTAAATGTCTCAAAAAACATTTACACTCATTATTATTCTTTATTACAAAAAGTTAAAAGTTTCAATATTTACTACTTCAATATTTCAAGATATTTATCTCTTTTTTTATTAATTTTTTTCCTCTTCCAATTTTGTTAAATACAATGGAGTAATACAAAAAAGAAGAAGTTGATTTACTTGTTTTCCTAATAAAACATAAACATCCAACAAACGTTGAATAGTTCATGAATATCTTTTTGTCTTCATTATTTTATTTTTTCCTTCTTTTATTTATTTTAATTTTTTTGCCTCCATAACTTAAGCCTATTGAACTTCTACTTTAATTCATATTACTAACCCATTTTCTTTAAAATATTATATTCATAACCACAACTATTTAATTTCAAATTTCAAGATACCTTATGATATTCCTTCAATATTGTCTATATAATTTCATATTTTTTTATTTCATAAGATTCCTACTCAAGATTATTGTTTTTATTCCATATTTGAAATAGTGATATTCTATATTATTGTCGTAGTATTAGATTTATACTTTAGTTGACTCTGTGAAAAGGCTTATAAGGGGGGCGAATAAAAGCTCAAAAATATGTGCATTGATTATATAAAAAAAATTCATATTTGTTTTTGTGATTAATGACTTAACAAAAATGTGTTGTTATTTTTCTCTTTTTGCTTACTTTTTCATATGTTCTCTCTATATTATTTTTTTAAAATTTAGGTTCTTATAAATTTTTAATTGTGGTAAATTACATTTTTATTTAGGCTCAAATTAATTATTTGCAACTTTGTCAGCACACAACTAATTACACCAACAGACGTTCAAATTTTACTACTCATGGGTCAAAACAAATGCATATTAAATATCGAAATACGCAGTTCTTAGGTATTTCTTATGGTGAAAAATCATTTACATTTTCTTTAAATTTATCCATTTCTTCTACTTTTAAAGAATTACCAAAAGAATAATATAAGACATACACAAAAAATAGCAATAGACAGGTTTATTTAGATGATGATGAAAAATAAGAGAAAAATATTTATTTAGACGATGATGAAAAACAAGAGAAAAACAAGGAAAATGAAAGAATTAAGTCTCAAAGAAGAAATGAAATAGAAATACGTATCTCTTTTTCCTCCTACTTTTACTTTCATCACTTTGTTTTTCGAATAAAACAAAGATTCATCAGACATAAATTTATCATTTAATAAAAACAAGAGAAAAATCAAGTTCTTAAATATGTTTATTTGAATTATATGTATAACATCATAATATATTTTCTTAAGAAAATTAGCCTTTTAATTTTGAAAAATACTTGATAATAAAAATGTAATTCACTTAAGCTCTAAATCTACAAAAATATTTGTATTGTGATTTCATTATTTCCTTATTTCTATAGTTGATTCTTATTTCTTCTATCATAATTAATTTTAAAAATAAATTTACATATATTTTTTATAATTACGCGAAGTGCGGCTAAATTTCCTAGTAAAAGATAAATATGAAAAAATGTCCTAATTTTTTTTTAATTTTGAATAACTCACTTAATATAAACTAGAAAGAGTACTATACATAAAATATAATAAAGTGATTATAAATAAATCTCTCTCCAAATTTTATTTGTTTGTGAATGTAAAGTAGTCAACAACTTTATTAAATGAAAGATAAATATGAAAAAATGTCCTAACAAGTTCTTGAATTTTGAATAGTTCACTTAATATGAACTAGAAAGAGTACTATACATAAAATATATAAATTGATTATAAATAAATCTCCCTCCAAATTTTATTTGTTCATGAATGTAAATGATTTGGTACGTATGAAATTTATTAAAAGAGATATTTTTAGATCTATTATCTTAAATAAGGAATGACATTTGTGGATATTATTCCTTTTTATTTAATATAAAGAATAAATAACTTCTTATAATTCTTTGTAATTAATTTATGTGAACATTCCTAAGTCGTAAGTATATGTGAAATAGGAGAGTTACTTCCTCATAATAATTCACAATTATTCAAGTGACATTTTCTTAACATGGTAAGAAAATATAAGAACTATTGAGAAGATTCAAAGTTACTTTGCATTATGACAAATTTGTCTTTAAAGCAAGAGTAATATTTCATTTCATTAATTTTACATTAGCTTCTTATGTTCTTCTGATGGATGAAAATGTAAATGATATGCCTATTAACAGAGTATTATTTGTGGGCTAAATATACAAAAGAGAAACAAAAAGTTTTTCTTTCATTTACTCTCTTTCACCAATTCCCTTATTGTCTCAAATAATCATTCTTTCTATTGTAAATTTCTGGGCAATTATTTTTGTGCAACTCCAAACTTTCAATCACGAGTGCACGTGTTTTGAAGAGTTGTGGAACCTTGAGAAGTGACTGGCCTTAGTGTTAGTTGTTATTTATTGATTGTTCAAGTTTAATGTTTACTGTGATTTTTATGCTCTCGTGTGTTCTTTTTTGAATGCAAAGAACAAAAAAGAGGCAACATCTGTAACGACTGATCCCGCCGTTATTTAAAGGGAATTTCATGCGAAATTTTGATTTTTTTTAATTATGTTTTCAAATTAAATTGAGGTGACACGACGAAAATTTTGAAATTTAAATTTGATCTGGGCTGATGTCAACCTGCCATAGCGGGAATTTTACCGCTATAGCGGGGCTGATTGGATCA